GGCAAAAATAAATACTTCTAAGAAGTTATCTTCAATAAGGTCCTTACTCCGAAGTAGCATCTCTTTAAAAATAAATTAACTTCTTTTGCTAATAAATACTTTACAATCTCATTGCTAATGAAAAGAATATCAACTTCTTTTGACATACAAGAAAGAGTAGATCTTTTTCTACTAGAAGGTCAACTTTCATTTTCTTGTGTGACCAAAGGTGTGCACTTTCTTTTCAAGAAATTCTCCATCACTTTTTCTGAGTAAATAAACAAATTATACAAAGTAAAAGAGATAAATTTTTATTACGGGTTCCCATTTACAATTAAAAATAAAATAATTCAATTAGAGTAAAGACTAGAGATTTAGATATTACGTGACATGATGAATTGCAGAATTGATGATGAGTGATGTCTGATTACTGATTTGTGAAGAAGAATCTGCAAAAAAATACAAGCATTATACTATTACAGTATTATTTACGATAAAAAATAGAAATAATATTAAAAATACACTAAAAACCTGCAAACACCCATGGAGTACACACTACTAAGAACTTTTACTTTTTAGAATAATTGATTCTTGAAATTTGACAAATTGAATAATTAGATCTAAAAGTCTGAATCAAACTTTCAAAAAGAGAGAGAAAGCCTCTTACTCAGCTCGTGTGTGGCCGGATTGTGATTATGCTATCAAGATTCAATACGAGCAGGAAAGTCGGTGAGCGTTGAAAGCTGAATCGGCTGCCGGCGAGACTCTGTGGTTTACGCGGAAGAGGAAAGACAGAAGCTGCTGGACTGAAAAATACTCCGTATGGTTTCTTTGAGTAAACTACTGGGGGCAAGTATATTTTTTATTGGGGGCAAGATTAGGTTCTAAAAAAAATTTGGGGTACTAATCAAATTTTTTTAAAAGTTGACTGAGGGCATGTGCCCCCACTGGTATAACACTCCATCCGCCTCTGCCCGCAGATCCTGCTTGATGTTGTCGCCGGCAAGTTGGCGAAGACGGAGGTCGTGGGGTCTCCCGCAGGTTGGCGAAGACGGAGATTGTGGGGCCACTGCCAATCGCGGTTGGAGGGATCGATCTCGGTCTGTGGCAGTGTGTGGCTGATAGAGCGATAGAGGATGAGTCGATGAAGATAAGGAGTTGAGGCTGCGCTGAAACCCTAAAGCATACTTGTATTTATATACGGAGTACTTTATTCCCAAAGATTATGGAGTAAATTGGGTATTCATTTTGTGTCTAAAAATATATCAATGTGTACAGTCAAGTGAAAATCCAACCCGTCATGAGAATTCCAATGTTTTATTCGTATCTTCATTTGGAGACCAAAATCCGAAAGGAAAAGAAAAGGACGAAGTGGTAATCAGTATGATTTAGCAAGAGATATCCACGTCATGTACAAGCAATTGGAGGTAAAGTAGCTTCTAGCACGAAATAGGAAAAATATGGTGGATGCACCAATAAATAAATCACTCAGTATAAGACTTTAATTCTGCAATGAATCTCATTAGATAGTGATAGACTCACATCTATAGGCACAATGTGTACATCATTGGGTATTCATTTTGTGTCTAAAAATATATCAATGTGTACAGTCATGTGTACAGTCAAGTGAAAATCCAACCCGTCATGAGAATTCTAATGTATATATATATCATATCATATGATGGCTAATTCTCTCTCTAAAAATCCGCCCACGGGAAAACCTCCGGATACTCTTAACCGACTATTCTCAGAGGTGGTTTCGGATGATTACAGCGGGAAAAAACTAGAGGGTAAAGCAACTGGTTTCTTCAAAGGTATTCCCTCGGTTAGCTTCACACAGGAAGACATTGCGGAGCTCTCCTCTCGTTTTAAGCTCGCACTGGTGGCAAAGTTTCTGAGGCGTCCCTCTTTCACTTTCATGACCAAATTTCTACAAAAATTGGGTCTCAGAGGTAGCTTTGATCTCACAGTTCTCTCACCCCACAGACTTCCTGATCAATTTCTACGAAGAGGAGGATTATCTTCGTCTATTTCTTCGAAGGTCATGGCTGGTTTTTGGTTACACTATGACCCTGTCTAAATGGAGTCCCTCTCTCTCCCAAGAAATGGAAAATCCAGTCATGCCTATCTGGATTGCTTTTCCAGATCTCCCCATCCATCTTCATGATAAGAGAGCTCTCCATCTTATCTCCTCTTCCATAGGCACCCCTCTGAAAGTTGATTTCAACACTCTAAATTTCTCTCGGCCAGGCTTGGCAAGATGTTGTGTGGAGGTGGATATCTCTAACCTCCCTCCGGCGAAGGTCCTCATTAATCATGGGGGAGAGGAGCTTATTTTCCCTTTCTACTACGAAAATGTTCCCCTTTTTTGTAAGACCTGCAAAGGAACAGGTCACACTATTGAGACATGCGCTCACCGGAAAATCCCACCGGAGAAGGATAATCATAAGAGGGAGGCATTTTCAAAGAAGGGTGCTAGGGACAACCAGGTACAGGCCAAAGAGGATAAAATTGCTGAACAATGGCAACAGGTTGTTTCCAAAAAGGGTAAGGACAAATTGCCAGTTAATGGGGCAGGGAAGTTAGAGTGGCGGGCCAAACATGCACCAATTATTCCTGCTTGGAACGAAGGGCCAGGTGAGTCCTCCAATAGCCATGCAAAGCCTCCTGCTTCCCCTAGGCCACCATTATTTTTCCTTATACAACTACAAATACAAATAAAGCAGACCATAAGAAGGCTGGGACCTACTCCATTTCAGACCCCTCTATCCTCTCAGCCTTCACTTTACGTCATCTTCATGAAAACGTGATTAGGGCTCCCATTTTGTATAAAGACCCAGATAAAACTGACAATAGCATGGCCATAGTCCCCTTTGAAGGATTTTCTCTCCCAGAGGATGATGTACCAGACGTTAGTTTTTTCAAGGAGCCAGAAGATATTGACGATCAACTAAAACAACTGGATGCCCTCCTCTCCAGGGAGGACTTCCCTCATTTAAAGGATTCTATCTCCCAGAGCCCCAAGGATTTCAGCTCTCGAACTAAGGTGAGGAGTCACCCTATGGTCACTAGACATATTTCTTCAAATAGATTCTCCCCATTGTTTTCCCCATGATTGGTCTTTTTTGGAATCTTAGAGGCATCCTCATCTCTCTCCCTCGTCTCTTACATCTTCTCAAAAATCACAACTTCCTTTTTCTCTCCCTTATTGAACCCATGGTTGATCCTGAGAAATTTGATTCGTACAAACTCAAGCTTGGTTTTTCGAAGGGTTTTTCTTCCCTTAATAATAAACTATGGTTCTTATGGAATGACCACCTTCTCAATCTTCAGGCAGTGATTGAGGATGAACAGATCCTCTCTTGCTGCTTTAATCATCTTGGCCCCTCCTCTTCACTCTGGATCTCTAGTGTTTATGGTAGGCACACCAGGGCTAATAGAGTTGGGCTTTGGAACTCTTTGAGAAACCTACATCCTATTCAGGGCCCTTGAATCATTGGTGAGGACTTTAACACTGTGGCCTCCATTACTGAACACAAAGGGGCAGTCTGCCCTGACCTTGGTAGTATGGATGATTTCAATAAGGCTATTGCTGATTGTGACCTTATCTCTCCTTCTTTTCTTGGTAGCCAATTTACTTGGTTTGGTAATAGGGGGAGAGGGAGAGTGTGTAGAAGACTTGATAGAATCCTTATCAATGAGGTTTGTTTGGATCTGTTTCATACTATTGAAGTTAAACACCTAGGAAGGGGGAACTCTGACCACATGCCATTATTATTAAACTGTCTTCCTAGCTCAAGGACTAGTCCAAAGCCTTTCAAATTCCTGAATGTCTGGAGCTCCCATCCTACTTATAGAAACCTTCTTATTTCCTCTTGGGACAAAACCTATCATGGTGGGGGTATGAGAGGGTTAGTTTGCAAGCTTTCAAACTTCAAAGCTACCCTTCTCACTTGGAATAAAGAAACATTTGGTAACCTCTTCCAGGATGTTAAAGATGCAGAAATCAGGGCAGAACAAGCAGAAGAAAAACTTGAACAAGAGGACTCACAAATAAACCTACTGGAATTCAAACTTGCCACAACCCTTCTCCAACAAGCCCTTAAAAAGGAGGAGAGTTTTTGGGCTCAAAAGGCAAATATAAGGTGAATCTCACAAGGGGATGCCTCTACAGCTTTCTTTCACTCTTTTGTTAAAGGAAGGAGGCATAGATTGTGTATCTCCTCTCTTAAAGATGATAATGGAAAACTGCACAATACATTGGAGGGGATCTCTAAAGTGGTAGTGGACCACTACTCAAGGATTTTCTCCACTGTTCATGAGGGGGATATGGGACAAATCCTGGATCACATCCCTAACTGTGTATCTCCCCAGGACAACAGTTTGCTCAGGTCAATCCCAGATGAGGAGGAAATCAGGAGAACAATTTGGTCCTTAAATGCCAATAGCACTGCTGGTCCAGATGGTTTTAATGGTTTTTTCTTTAGGGATTCTTTGGAAATTATCAAAATTGATGTTTGTAGGGAAGTTCAGGTATTCTTTTTGGGCATCCCCATGCCAAAAGCTTTTGGCAGCGCTCTTATTACCCTGATCCCTAAGCAGGAAGGCTCCATTACCTTGGATCAATTTCGTCCCATCTCCTTGTCAACCTTCTTTAGCAAAATCATTTCCAGGCTGTTAAGTGAGAGGCTCAAAACAATCATTCCTAAACTAATCTCCCAGGAACAAGCAGCATTCCAGGTTGGTAAAAACATTACTGAACATGTTCTCATGGTAAAAGAAATGGTCCACATTCTCTCAGCTAAGGGAGGGGGGGAAACTGCATCATTAAGCTGGATTTATCAAAGGCTTTTGACAAAATCTCCTAGACTTATTTGGATGCTGTGCTAACCAAATTTGGTTTCAGCCCACCTGTTGGTCATCTTTTAATGGGTAACCTTAGGGCAACTCACTTCTCTGTATTGGTAAATGGCCAGCCACAGAGTTTTTTCCCCATGAAATGTGGAGTTAAGCAGGGAGACCCCCTCTCCCATCTTCTCTTCATCATTGCCTTGGAAGGTCTATCCAGGTTCTTAAATCATCAATTCTCCCGTGGATATATTTTACCATTCTCAGCGGGAAGGAACCCCACACCATGTCATCTTCTTTATGCTGATGACATCATCCTTTTCACCAAAGCAGATAGCACGAATCTATTGAGACTTAGGGAACTTCTCTCCCTTTTCATGAAGGCATCAGGAAAGGAAATAAATTACTCCAAAAGCCAAGTTATAGTCCATGAAAGAATGAAGGCTGAGCAGCAAAACCAGATTAGAAAAATCCTGTCCATCAGGTGTCACACAAAGGAATTTACCTACCTTGGTTCTAATATTGTCAAGGGTAAACTGAGGAAGGTTCACTGCAAGGTTGAAAAATTTGAGAAAAAAATAAATGCTTGGTACAGCAAGAAACTCAATATGATGGGGAGGCTCATTCTCATCAAACACGTGCTATCCTCAATTCCTTTACATCTTATGGCTGCACAAAGAATTCCTAAATCAATTCTCAAAAGTTTGAATAGACTTATGGCGAACTACTTCTGGGGAATAAACGAAGAAGGTCCAAAATATCACTGGAGAAAATGGGAAAAACTCTCTTTTCCATTCGAGGAAGGAGGCCTAGGACTTAGAAACATCCTCAATAGCCAGAATGCAGCTTACATAGATCTGTGGTGGAAGGTAATTACTGGAAATTCCATCTGGGGCAAATTTATGAAGTCTAAATATTTCAGAGATGGAATCTTCTCCCCTAAGATCTATGACTCATACACGTGGAAGGCTATTTGCAAGATCTCCCCTTTGGTCCTTCCACACTGCAGTTATCATGGTGAAGATGTGGCATGGCTATCAGGGACATACAGCTTCAAAATTGCCTACTCTCTCACGTTTGAACACAAGCCAAGAATGTTCACTTCTGTTTGTATCTCGGACAAGAGGCAAATGGGAAAAATCAGCATCTTCCTTTGGCGGTTTTTAAACAATGTGCTACCTTTCCCACGAAACCTTCAAAAAATGGGATTCATGATAAACACACCTTGTCCTTTCTGTGGTGAACTGGATGTTGATGAACATCATATCTTCGTAGGCTGCTCGATGATATCCCATATTTGGCAAACTTACTCTCTGGTTGTCAATGCACCTTCGGCAGGAGGAGATTTAACTGCTCAGCAAATCATTCTCAACTAGTGGTTTTCGTCAAACAAGGGTAGCATCAAAGGGAACTTGAGATTTATCCTGCTTGGTCTTTTATGTTGGTCTGTTTGGAAGCTCTACAACTCCTTTCTCTACCAAGGACATAAACCATCCATCAACGGGCTGTTGACATCCATAAACAAACTCACTCAAGCTTGGTTTTGGGCAAATAAATTAGATACCACTTTTTTGTATAAGTCATCTAATTTTCAAGTGGGCATTTGTAGTTTCCAGAACACTAGATTGTAATCCCTCCTTTTTTTCCTCTTGTTTAATAAAGTTTCCTTTAATATATATATATGTATGTGTGTGTGTGTCTATATATATATATATATATATATATATATATATTTATATTTATATAATGTTTTGCCTTGTAATATCATATTGCAATTTATGTAAATATTAGTCAAATATTAAGAACGTTTATAAAGAAAGATAGCAATAAAATAAGTTTAGTGTTTATTTACTCTTAGAGTATTTAGGGAATACTAAAAAAAGATGCATGTGAGAACTTATTATTTTACCTGAAGTTAAGATAAGACAAACAAGAAAGAAAGTGAGGCCGATGGTTCAATTGCTCATGCTGAATAAAGCAGTACTATAATCCTATCCTATATATCCTATATCCTATATATCCTATCCTATATCCTTTATCTTTTATATATTATATTTGGAAGTTAAACTTCCAGAATGTTGACATTTGTCATGCTGAGTGGACAAAAAAATTAACAGCTCAGCTGCCATGTCATCATGAATGTGATGAATGTACTTATGGCGAGAAAAAACCCGGATGGCTGATTTGGGGAAAACCCACGCCTTCGACCGTGAGAGAACAGAGTTCGTTCATCAGCGCGATTTTGATTTCGTTCATCAGCGCGATTTCTGCTATTTGCATTCTGGAGATTCGCGATCAATTATACGCGAAATCTGGAAATGGAGATGAACGAAATTACAGTAATTCACAATCAATTATAGGCCGATTTTTGCTATTTGGATTTGGAGATGAGCGAAATCTGCAATTTCCTTCGCAGATGATATGCGAAATCTGGAAATTCGCACTCTCCTTGGCAGACGGATGCAGTTTCCTTCCAAGATGAAATTGTGATGAGTGAAATTTCATCGGCGCTAGACTCTTGCCCAAGAACGGTAAGTTTCCTTAATTCTTTGTCTGATTCTACTTTTTTCAGGGATTTCCTTATTACGATTTAGTTCATATATAAATTAATTCTAAATTAGCCATTTCATCAATCTTGGCTGTAAGGGCTGTTCATACCTAAAATCTTTGCATAATTGACATGTCTACCAAACCCATCCACCCTTTGCTGAAAATCAATCCAACAAGTGAATGCTGGAGAGTGTTAGTTCGTGTGGTTTGATTGTATACGATGCCAGATTACAATGATGACAAAGTCACTAATTCGATTGAGATGATATTCATGGACGAACATGTAAGAATCATATTCTTATACGAATTTTGCATACATTATATGAATTTGGCATACATTACTGCATACATCGCTGCATCCATTATACGAATTTGGCATACATTACTGCGTCCATGGTGACAAAAGAAGCCCTAACTTGGCTCTGTTTTCAGCTCTTCAAAGGAAAAAACAGTATTTTTAACCAAATTGCATAGGTAGTATAGCATAGTGTACTTCATTTTTATTTATAAAATTAAATTGTGCTTTATGTGAAGAATACTCGTAATTTTAGTGCAGTATTGGTTTGTTCCAATTCATCTACCATTTATAAAAGATTATGTTATCATTCTACTTAAATGTTTCTTCTACATAAAATAATGTCTGTTTCTTTGCCATCAATTTGTATAAAAAAAGAGAATCACATTTGTGTTGACGGTATTGATATAGTGAATGATAATCACTGCAGATAGACTCAAAGTGAAATGTTCAGTGAGATCGTTAAATCGAACAAATTGTTTTCTCCCCTTGAAAACCTGAGAATTCGGAATTAGGTTAAAGTATTTGCAAAACAGACCCAAAATTTTTGGTTAAACATTGGTTAAACAGACTTGATAGTTTTGGTTAAACATTGGTTAAACAGAATAGTACATGTTTAGTTAAACAGACCCAACATATTGGTTAAACAAACCCTATAGAATATGATGTCCATAGTCAGTGCATATTCTGTCCCGTCCCATATTCTGCTGCATATTTTCAGATTTATATTCTCTTATATTTTTTTATGGCGTTGAGTTTAGATTCTTAAAGTCTGATGAAATTTCTCCAATCCCTGGGTATTGGACGGTTCTCCAGTGCTTAAAAAAATCAGACAAAACAACTTTTTATATTGCCAAAAAAGTCTGTTGAGTTTATATTCTTGGTTATTATAGTGTCTATTCATGTTGAAGCTTCTCAAGTGCTTAAAAAAATCAGACAAAACAACTTTTTATATTGCCTAAAAACTTTTCAAAGTCTCTACAAATTTGTTTTTGTAGTTTCAAATCACATTTGAATAGGCCAGATAGTGTTGATACCTGTTGAAGTTTCTTTAGTCCCTGAGTATTGCAGTCTCTCATGTCCCTATGAGTATTAAAGTTTCCTTGACATTTTGCAGGAAACTACTATCCATGCCACTGTAAGAAAAAGTTTGGTGGGACCTTTTGAGAATAAAATAAAGGAAGGATCAGTATATGTCTTTGCTTATTTTGGCGTTGGCAATAGCAGTGGATATTATCGCACTTCAAGACATGAGTTTTGCCTAAATTTTCAAGCAAGGACCACCGTCACAGAAACCAGGTGTGACAAAATACCAGTTTACGGAATTAAGTTGGTTGCATTCCGTGATATCTTGCACGTTGATTCGAACTATCCGTATTTAGTTGGTAATGCTCCTTACTTGAGCCATAAAAGTTTTTTTTAATTTGAATTACATACCCGTTAAAGAGGTGGATTAGATGGAATATGTTTCTCTTCGTTCTTCTCAATATCATCATTACATTGCAGACACTATGGGAATTCTTTCGGCTGTTGGGAAGGAAAGGGAGATAGTGAGGGAGTCAAAAAGAACAAAGATGATTGTGATTACGTTGGAGGCCGAAGGGTATAATGTTGTTATTTTTAGTTTCGTAAAAAGTGGTTGTTTTTNCTTAAAAGTTTTTTTTAATTTGAATTACATACCCGTTAAAGAGGTGGATTAGATGGAATATGTTTCTCTTCGTTCTTCTCAATATCATCATTACATTGCAGACACTATGGGAATTCTTTCGGCTGTTGGGAAGGAAAGGGAGATAGTGAGGGAGTCAAAAAGAACAAAGATGATTGTGATTACGTTGGAGGCCGAAGGGTATAATGTTGTTATTTTTAGTTTCGTAAAAAGTGGTTGTTTTTTAATGAACTAACATGTAATGCTAACTTTTGAACTTTGGTATACCAGAAAAAGGTTGGATGTTACTTTATTTGGTGAGTATGTTGACGTGCTTAAAAGCTTCTTTCGACACGCGCCGTTGGAACATGCGGTGATTGTCATTCAGTATGCTAAGGTCAAGATGTTTCAAGGTATTAATATCTTGAATACTATTGTGTTCTTTTATTTCCTTTTAAAATGTTGTTAATCGATTTTATTTCTTTACATGTCATTATATATTACACTACTATTTTCTTATATTCAACTTGCATGCTTTTAGGAAATTATATTCTACAAAATGTAATGTATGGTACACGTCTTTTGTTGAATCCGGAAATAAACGTCGTTATTGCTTTCAGACAAAGGTTAGTTCATCTCATATTTAATCTGTTTTACTGGCTGATTTTGGTTACAAGCAAGAGTAGATTTGACATATGCAAACTAATAGAATAGTTACCATCATGCAGGACTCTTGGCGGTTCTTCTCAACCTTAGCCTGTTAGGTTATCATGTGATAACATTACGAGTTCAGACCAAAGTGACTTCCTCGATACGAGCAAAACAAGGGTGATTGCTAACCTGAAGGAGTGTAATGAGGTATATTTGGTATTTTTAAGCATTCAATCCATACTTTCGAGACTTTTAATTATTGGTTTGCTCTTTGGATTCAATATATTAACATATGCACTATTAATTGAGAAATAACATGAGACCTAATATATGAATTTCTCTAAAAAGGATGGATCGTATGTGGTGTACGGGACTATCGTTGCGGTAAACAATGAGAGCGATTGGTGGTATTTAGCATGTAAGTGTAACAGAGCTGTTAAACCTAATGGTGCAATGTACTACTGTGCGCACTGCTCACGTCGTGTTTTCAAGGTCACCCTGAGGTATCGTATAACTCTTTTTTCATCAATGATTTTCTTTTAGTTGTTAAATATGTGCATGTAAGGAGATTACTTAAAAACTCTTTGAATTTTTTAAACTATTCTCTGCTTTAGATATCTTATCAAGCTGTCTGTTAAAGATGATTCTAGAACAACCACATTTGTTTTATTTGACTGTGAGGCGTCCAATATTTTGAATATATCCTGTGCAGAATTGATGGAAAAAAGTGATTTGGTATGTACTCTTGCTTCAAAGCGCTTGGTTTATTAATTTTTATTAGATCATACACAGTTTTAGTTTGATTGTTTTTTCACATACTAACAAAATGTTGCTTTTATGTATGAAAGTAGCATGTTCTTACTATAGACAGTTTACTGATAACACACATGAAATTAATATCTAACAATTTTGAACATAATGTATAAAGCACACACGGATTGTCCACATGAAAAAAGGTTATATTTTTTAAAGTAAATGTTGCTGAAATTCCTACTAAAAATGATGCTAAAATTTATGAAATAAATGTAAAACATTCATAATTTTTATGATAGTTAAAAACAAATGTATAATACTTCAATTTTCTTTATTTTGAAGACAATGTTTGTCTTATTTGTAAACTAATGTAACGGATAAATTTCTCGCAGGCTGGAAGTTTTGAAAATCCAAAAGAGTTTGATGACCTCTTGCTTGGGAAGACGTATATTTTCAAAGTTGAGGTAAGGGTCATGAACTGCGGCCAGCATGAACACTCTTTTAGAGTGTCAAAAATATGTCACGATGATACCATCAAGAAAAAATACCTGGAATCTATTCATGCAAAAAATTCAAAAGGTAATATTACACGGAATGGCTTTTACTACTGCAGCGACTGTAAAAAATGTGTTGTGAACGTGATTCCAAGGTAATATTACTCTTAAAATTCTACTAAGATTTCAGCTTTTATCCTGCCTACCAATTTCCTAACAATTTGAAAAGCCTTCTTGATATAGAAGTACATTGATCACACTTTGTGTCATTTTCTGTCATTCCTTAATACAAGATCGCAAAACATATAATAAGGTTGATGACACTTTTTAATCATAGTGTATGATCAACAAACATATAATAACGTTTTGAATTTTGAGATTTAAATGTTTTTTATTAGAGTATGCAAGTTTTTACACTACTTATTTACAAATATATAGTCTGATGTTCCACTTATTATACTGTTTTCTATATTCTGATTGATGATGTTTCTCCGGTGCGTGAGTATTAAAAAAACTGATTTTTACTTTTTATCCTGCATATTATGACGTGACTTTTCACATGGATTGCATTGTTACAAAGTATTTTAATTTTTCAATTACGAAATGAGTCAGTCTCAATGTTATTTGGTTCAGATACTGTTTTTTCTCACATGTGGGTCAATTACTATTTATTTTTTCATACAAGAAGATAAGCAGAGAGAGGAATTGATGATAATGTAATCCCACAGTGTCTAGCTTCTTTGAGTTGTATTTTGCAGAAAAAATACTAAGCACTTGATTTTAGTTTGGTGTTGGTATAACAATGTCACCTTAAAAACTAATCACACTAAGACGTTTTGTTTAAGACAACCAAAGACGGTATCTACCGTGCTTATCTGCATACTTTTTGATATCCGAATTTTAACAAATTATAAAAACATATGATAACACCTAATGGTAAATATTAATATAATGAATATATGCAGGTATCGAATTAAGGCAAGAGTGAACGATGCATCAGATAGTGCGACTTTTGTGATATTTGAGAGTCTTGGATGTTTGTTGTTGCATAAGTCCTGCTCTGAGATGCTGAAATTCTGTGGGATTACATTATTGCAGTTTGTATAAAGACCTTAAGAGGTATGTGAGATGTGAATTTTTTGACACTTACTGTCAAAATGAATAGCTGCCCCGAGTAATGTTCCTATTTGTATATAAAGGGCTTGCCAGTAGGATGTGAACAACCAGATGTGTTCAAACAAATGTTACTTGAAAAGTCATTTATCTTCAAGGTTGAAGTCAAGACTGCAAATATCAATGATTTTGAACCTTCGTACAATGTGAATGACCTATGCTTTAATGACCGGATCATTGCAAAATTTATGGAGATGCACTCTTCATTTTTCTCTCCTCAGGTTTGCAATTAAAACAATAACTTCAAGCTCATTCTCTACCACTTTTTGAATGATGGAATATTTGTGTTTGGTAATGTATCTATATTTTCTTTATACCAGACGGATAAGACTATCGGGTATTCAACTGATGGGAAGACAAACACAGAAGTCTTTTTAGTTGGCAAGCCTTGCGTAAAGGTATTGAAATCCAAGACATAAAATAAGATTAATGTTTAAATATTTTTTATTCATTAAATTTCAGGTGCAACCTTAAAATCAAATTTTTCTCATCTTTTATTTTATAAATTCAATAGCGATAAATTGAATTTCCAACTATTTATAGTGTATAACCCTTTGATTTTCTCCTTGCAGAATTTAATTGTGGACTTTGTGGAATCTCAAGATAGTCATCTGACACAACCTAGAGATGATGTGATCAATCTTACACCCATGAAAAGAATGCAAGAGGAATTGAATAACGTTAGAGATGGAGATGACTCCGTCAACAAGACGAGGAGTGTTAAGATTGAAAAAAATTAATCATTATTGTTGTTTCTTCATTCGAGTGTTCTGAGTTAATTGTTGAATTTCATTACTATATACTTTAAGTTTTATTTTAATATTTGCATGAATAATGTTGTTGGTTTTGAATAATGAATTTTATTACACCTACAAGAAATCATCTTTTCCTAAGTGTTGTCATACGTTATTGTGTCTAAATTTATTATGAACTAAGTGTTGTGTAATGCGTCTGATTCTTATAATATTCTAAAACAATATCAAAGAATTCAATTGTTAATGATGATTCAATTTTAAAAAAAATTCATTTTAAAAAAAATTCATTTGATGAAACTCTGTGTCTTGAAATATAATTTAATAACTATTTACAAAATTGGGCATTATTTAAAGGTAATAAATTTATAATTCTAAAAAATAAATTAAAGTTAGAAGTATTGAAAATATTCTAAGAGACATGTTTTCTAGGTTATTTATTCTTAATTTCTAAACGATGCTTTTTCCTATTCATTTCACAATCCTTTATATATTATATTTGAGAGTTTAACTCCCAGAATTTTGACATTTGTCATGCTGATGGGGATTTTTTTTGACACTTCATAAGCCATGTCATCATATTGGACTTACTCAATATTTCAAACGAGTTGGATAATGATTCATTACTTTGGGCTTCTTTTATTTGGGCTACTCTGTGTAGAATTCATCCGCAAGTCTGAATGAAAGCGAGACATCAGCGGCACTTTCCTTCGATTGCACCTCCCTGCGATATTCATCTTCGAATGGCTCCACCGCGAGATTTCAGAGAATATGTGATTGGAATTAATCTCTTTCCTTCTTCACGGTCCTTCTTCAGGGAGATTCCAACGATCGGTACCAATTAAGAATAGGTAATTTTCCCTTTTCTTAAAAAATCATAATTGTTTTTGGAATGATTGGCCTTGTTTCCTTCTTATGACGATTAGTCTCTGCAAAATTTGTTCTTCTTTCGAATTTTCCGGTTCAAATCTCTGGATTTTCTACCCTTATTGCTGTAAGTTTCCTTCTTGCGATTTATATTAGGTCATATATAAATCAAATTTTAAGTAAGCCATTTTATCAATCTATTTTTTCATTGTAAGCCACGTTCATACCTAAAACATCTGATTAATTGACATGTCTTCCAAACCGATCCACCCTTTGTTGAAGATCAATCCATCAAGTGAATGCTGGAGAGTTTTGGTTCGTGTGATTTGACTGTACAAGATGCGAGTGTATAATGATGAGAAGATGACGAATTCGATTGAGACGATATCCATGGACGAACATGTAAGAATTGTAGTCTTATTTGTATTTTGCATACAATATAAAATTTATGTTTAATAGGATTTCTTATAATTTTTTAGTGGCTAGAAGGTTATTTTGCTTTTACTTTCAAAACACAATTATACTAATCTGTATAAAAAACCAAAATTCTTCAATTGCCCATATTGAATAAATAAATGAAGAATGATAAATCTGCTGTTCTTAAAGTATAATGAGTCTGCTTTCCTTGAAGCTTCTATTTTCAGCACCATAAAAAATAATTTCTTTTATTAAAGTACTGAAGAGTTGAGCATGTCCTTATTTTCAGATTTATAGTCTGCTGTTTTTGAACATATTTTATGGTGTGAAGTTTAGTTTTTAGTCTCTTGAAGTTTCTCCAGATTCAAAGTATTGAAAAAACAAAACACATTATAGTATGTTCTGATTCTAAGTATTAAAAAACAAAACATACTATAGTCTGTTTAGTTTTTTTTAGTGCCTATTCATGTTGAAGTTTCTCCAGTGCCTAAAACCATGAGACTAATTTTTTTTTTAATAGTGGCTAAGAAGGTATTCTTATAATTTATGTAATAATAACTCTGCCGTTCTTAAAGTGTAATAAGTCTGCTGTCCTTGAATCTTCTATTTTCAGCACCATAAAAAACATAATTTTTTATTAAAGTATTGACGACTTAAGTCTTTCCTTATTTTTCAGACCTTAATTTCAGATTTATAGCTTCCTGTTTTTGAACATATTTTATGGTGTGGAGTTTAATTTTTATAGTCTCTTGAAGTTTCTCCAGTCCTTAAGTATTGAAAAAACAAATCACACTATAGTCTGTTTACTGTTTATAACTAATACCTAAAATGATAAGAAATATAAATACAAATAATCACCCAAATCAATATCAACACACAATAAGAATTCAAGAGTCATTGATGTGTAGATTGACGGTCTGCTCTGTGATTTTAAGGCTAACAAATCTCCTATGGATCTCGACCTTTTTGTTCTCCACTTCTCCTCATCATCTCCTCAAGTTGTTTTTTTATATCCTCTTTCTTATCTTTATATAAATAAATGTTTTTTATTAAAGTATTGAAGCTTTTCCAAAAATAAACGTTGAAGCTTCTTTTTTCATCTCAATGAATAAATGATTTATTGATAAAGTTATTGAACACTTCAACCTATCCTTATTTTCAGATTTATAGTCTGCTGTTTTTTTATCATGTTTTTTGGTGTTCATTATTTTTTATAGTCCTTGAAGATTCTGCCTAAGACTTGAAGCTTATGAAATCCCCATAACTATTCATGTTTCCTTGATATTTTGTAGGAAACTACTATTCATGCCACTGTAAAAAAAACTCTGGTGGGAACTTTTGAGAAGAAAATAAAGGAAGGATCAGTATATGTATTTGCTTACTTCGGCATCGGCAATAGCAGTGGATATTATCGCACTTCACGATATGACTTTCGCCTAAATTTCCAAGCAAGGACGACTGTCACTGAAACCAAGACTACCTCTAAAGTTCTAGAGAAGACAATTTCCAATAGTCTTATGTTTTGCTATGACTATTAAAAAAAGTCATGGTCAAACATTGTCATTTGTTGGATTATTTTTAACCAAGTCAGTGTTCACTCATGGTCAGCTTTATGTTGCTGTTTCGCGAGTGAAGACAAAGACAGGATTAAAAATATTAGTTTTAGATGATAATGGAAATCCTTGCAGTCATACAAAAAATGTTGTATACCCTGAAATCTTTCAAAAAAATTGGTATTAAAGCAAACTTTGTTGTGTGTAGATTTAATTCCTCAAATATTATTCTTTTTTCTTTGTCTTTCTTTTCTGTGTTATTATAAATCATGCATGAGGTATATTTCCTTTATTCCGGAAAAAAATATTGCATTGAATAAATTCAGAATCGACAAGATATTCGTAACCCGTGCATTGCACGGATAGGAATACTAGTATATATGTAAAATTGGGTTTATCTCTTGGAGTGTTGACATGTGGCATGCCACATGTGCATCCACATGTGCATTGAGATGGATGAATTTCATTGGTCTATTTAATTTTTTAAAAAGATCTTTTAACACATTTTATTATATTTTATTACATTAAATAAATACTCCGTATTATATTTTAGTACTAAAAAACATTTTTTAATTATACTTTGTATGTATAAAAAATGTCATTTTTTAACAATTTCATAATATTTCATCATTGTAAAATATACTTTGCGTATTTTATACACACACACACACATATTGGCACACATATTTTCTAATGATGTATCTTTATTTAATAAGTCCATCTTTTATTATAATATTTTATAAATTAAAACTATTTTCATTAGTACTTCATTCAATAATGGCCATTAGTTTTGTATAAAAAAATTGTTTTTAAATAAACAGACAAATATACATTCCACCAGTTTAAAACATATTTTGTTTACATAATGAAATTATATCTATAAATATTTTTTTAACTTTATCAATGTTTTGAAAAAATAAGTTTCATATGATTTTTAAAAACAATAAATCATTTCTCTTCTACTACTTTTAAAAAAATACTTATAGAATCTTTAGTGCATGTACATCTATATTTAAAGTATAATATTTGAAAAAAGATATATATCTTATAGTTAAAATATTCATCTAACACATATTATGTCACAATTAGAAAACTAAAATAAATAAAAATAGATTTATAGAATGTCAAAAATTTAGAATAAATACGAGCCCGTGCGAAGGACGGGTTTAACACTAGTAATATTATAAATGTGAAAACAAGAGAAAGTTTATAGATAGAATTCGTTTACTACAGGAAAACATATAATCTGTATGGCACACCACATGTGTGTCGTATTTATAATCTGCACTACATTTAAAAGGTGCATGTCCATATATGCAATTTTAATTTAATCGTTTCATTAATCTTATTCAATGTTTAGTTAATAAACGTATATAATAAATACCGGAATAAAAAATATTTATTTGATTCAATTATGTGATCCAAATGTTATGCTCTGTGATATTTATTAGGGTAAGTTATTTCATTAATGGGCTATCCCTCCTTTGAGAAGTAGTGTTAACGATCAAATTGAGACATTTATCGTGTTCCATTTGAAAATTAATATTTCATGCCCGTAATACAAATCGCTCTAAATAGAACTTAAATATAGGAAACAATACTAAAATAGGAGCTCTATGTTTTTATTCACGAAATAAGAGTTTGTATTGTGGTAATATGATGATAATGTGGCATTGTACATGTACACAATACTATACTTTTTGGAAATGTACATGACAATTTTTGGTAATATAAATATATTTTAATTCGTATTTCGAGAATAAAAACATGCAAGTCTTATTTTAGTATATTTCCAATGTTTTACTTCTAATTTAGTCTTTTTCTTACCTGTAAACCTGGTAAAGCCCCCACCCTGATTTGACTCAAATTTAGTTAAGTTTGAAATCAAAATTTTTGACGAATCAACTAAAATGGGACAAGTGCAATATCATTATTCACACGGGAAGCTTGTTTTTTCGAGATAATATTTAAATTTTTTTAATCATTTTTAAAGAATTTCTTCTAATATTTTTTGGAAAAATTATCTCAAATAATCCCACCTTTTCGCGCTTTTTCAAAAATAATCCTACTTTTCACTGTCACCGCAAATAATCCTACATTTTCGCATGTTTGCGAGTTTTGGCGTTAAAAAACTAACGGCCACTTAACGGAAGTTTTTAAAAATGTCTGCTTTTGCAAATAAATGAAAGGTGGGATTATTTTAGAAAAAATTACTTTTTACTTTTTCAGTTTTGAATTTAAAATTAATATTTTTAAAAATATAACAATACACTTTTGTTAGAGATTTGTCTAACGATTAACAAATTTTGTAGTGATTTATAAAATTTATGGGTTCCGTTTCGGAGAAAAAAATATTGTGTCATTTTCACAACTTTTGAATTACTATTTTGGGAAAAAATTTGTATTGAATTATTAAAAAAATCACAAATTGGGTAGTTCCATTTTAGAAAGAAAATTTTATTGCAATACAAGATTATCAATAAAAATTTCAGAGTGTTCATAGAAAAATTGCAATACATCAGAAAATATAGTGAGTTATAAAAATAAGAGTTCTATTTTAGAGAAAAAAAATTGTTGTGTTATTTTCACAATTATTGTAATGTTGTTTCACAAAAAATATTTATATAGAACTATCGAAAAATATTCATAAGTTTTGTAGTGCCATTTTTTTAAGAAATAATAATAATGTAGTATCAAAAAATAATTTGAAGTGCAGCTCAAGAAAAATACAGTAAATGCAACTTACAAAAAAATGTATTGTGTACAAAAATATTCATAAGTTATGAAGTTAATAAATTAGCTCTATTGTGTAGAATAATTTATTTTCTAATTATTACCATATTATTGGTTATTGAAAAAAAACAATTAGTTTCATTCTAAAAACACTTAAATTTGGTATTTTTTCCAAAAAAAATAAAATAAAAATAAATTTAAAGAAATTAAAAAACGAAAAAGAGAGAATTTACCTAAAATAATCTCACCTTTCATTTATTTGCGAAAAATGGGCATTTTTCAAAATTTCCGTTAAGTGACCGTTAGTTTTTTAACGGCGACCCAAAACTCGCACACATGCGGGAAGATGAGATTATTTTTGGTGAGAATGAAAAGTAGAATTATTTTTGAAAGGGCACTAAAAGGTGGGATTATTTGAGATAATTTTTCCTTTTTTTATGAACTTGTTCCTTCCCCGTAAACCCAAAGCCCTTTTATCTCAGTCGATGGGCCATTGTTTCGAAACGCAATCATCTCTTTGATGCTAGGGGCACAAGGTCATGGGATGAGACTTAAGAAGAAGAGCACCTAACTTAATTAACTTCCCTGTAACGCCTAAAACATATCGAATAATTATAAATGAATAATTATTCGATTTATCAAATTTCTTTTGATTAAAATAAATTTTTGTTGGACTTTAGGCTGAAATAAAATATGTATCGATATCCAATATCAAAATCTGAATAAGTCTCATAGAGATAAATCCAATATGTTGGCTTATTGTGTGATCTTGATTTAGAACCTGAGTACTGACTCAAATTAAAAATAAATGAAGAAATTATTTAAAATGTGAAATTTGAAATGATATATTGAAATAAATCATGATAATAAATAAAATGAATAGAATATAAGAACCTTTCTAAGTAATGGTCAAATAAACCAACTTTAACTCTACTAAAGTCAAATACACAAAATTATGATGTCGGAAAAAGTATTTTAAATAAATATAAAAATTACTCCATTAGATAGAGATTAATTGTCCGATCGCAACGGTGCAGACCGATTCAACGGTGCATTCTCATCTGAATCGGCCCCTATATATATATATATATATATATATATATATATATATATATATATATATATATATATATATATATATATATATATATATATATTTTGGTTCTGGTGAAAATGCAATCTTAAGAGAGAAATGAGAATGAATCTGGTGCTTCATCAAAATTAGATGCACCAAAATGGTGCGAAAATGCATCACGTCGAAATGCACCATAAACCTTCGAAAATGCACTATCTCAAAATCTAAGCGCAGGATGCAATCTGAGCCGCACGATGCATCAGATCCGATGGCTAGATTTTATTCTCATTTCTCTCCACAAGGTGCATTCTCACGAGAACCGGCCCCTAGATATATATATATATATATATATATATATATATATATATATATATATATATATATATATATATATATATATATATATATATATATATATATATATATATATATATATATATATATATATATATATATATATATATATATATATAGACACACACACACACACACATACATACATACATATATATATATATATATATATATAGACACACACACACACACATGTGTGTGTGTGTAGAAATATTACCTCTATTATAATATTTGTTTATATTATTTTCATATATTATTTTTACCTGACATTATTATTTTCATATACTATATTATTATTTTATATATAATAGTAAACACATTTATATAGAAATATCATTTATTTTCAACATTAAAGTAAAATATTCTTTTCATATATATACTATTATATAACATCCGTAGACAACAATAAGAGCATATATATGGTAATGTTGTCTCTATTATATTAGTTTTATTATATTATTATTATTATTTTCAAAATAATATTGTCACTATCATTATATTTTGGTTCCATTATAAAAATATATTATTATTTCCATAAAAAAATTAAATACATAATTATTTCCATAAATAATATAATGCACTAAACGCACACAACATTACCATAAAATTTTCCCACACAATACATTTAATGTATAATTATTTTCATAAATAAAGCATTAAATGCACATAACATTCCTATGATATTTTTCCATCCATTTTTTGGTCAACTATTCCCCTGTTTTTATATAAAGTATGGATAGTGGGGGCAAAATAATTTTCCTTAGAAATCCTTTTTTCTTTGGAAAATAATTTCTCTCCAACCACCAAACACACCCATTATTCACACACCCACTCTCAAATGCTTATAGAGAAGTTCATCCAAATTTGAGCCCAAGAAAGGCGTGACATTGGTTCTTTTAGTATCATTAGGTTGAAAAAAAAGTATAAATGGATACCACGTTTAATCGAATCAATAACAAAAAAGGAAATAAATAATACTGTGAAGGAAACACTCGCAGAGTGCATTATGATTACACACCAACTAACCAATAATAGCTCCATAACAAGAAAATGTTCACCAACTCGAACTGGATGTGCAATATTCTTGTAGAAGCGATTATATGATAGAATTTAAATTTAAAATATTGCATTCTGGGTACAATAATTATTCTGATAGAATTGCAATAAAAAGTATTGCATTCGAGTACAATAATTTTCAACTTCTCTACACTAGATTCTCCCTTTTTGCTAAGGGGTCATTAATTTTAAGTTGCAATCAGGGAGAATGTATTTTGACAAATGAGGAAAAAATTAATTACATATAAAAATGAAGAATGTGGAGAAGTTAAGAAAAGAATGTATTGATAAAAATCATTATAGAATTTAAGAAAATTAAAAAAAATATTCGCATATGAATCCCAAAAACAAAAATCAAGGAAAATGCAAAATTTTATAACTCATATTCCTATCCTGTTCTGTTCTGACTCATCTTCCTTGCTCTATCCTGTATCAAAATACTACCTCCGTTCCAGTTCCAAGAGTACTCGTACAAATCAAAATGGACAAGTTTTATTCACCAATTAAATAAAAACTATATTGGGTATGAGAAAACAAAAAAAATCGTTAGGCTTATGGAAAATATAAGTTTTTTATATGCCATGCAAATTTAATGTAATTGACAATTAAAGTTTCATTTAGTTTGACTCACCAAGGTCAAACTTTGGACAAAAAACTCTTGGACGGAAAGAGTAGCATTGAGATATATGTCTTACCAGTTAGGCTTCAGCATTGTATGTGTATCAGCTAAGGAGAAAGGTATATTAACTGCCACATGATACTACATTAGAAGATGCTCCCTCCCATACTCACGAACGATCACAGGCACACTCGTGGTGGGTATCTGTAGAAATAATAAAGAAAATTAAGCACACCAACGTGTCAATGCTAGGTTTATACATTTATGTTTTTCGTACACGTGTTTTATTTTTAAGAAGTTTATACATGTATATTCTAATTAATTGTCCGTTTAACTGGATCTAACAAACTTTTTTCATTATAATAAAAACATTAAATATGATGAAACATCTTTTCTTTTACTCAAATTGGACTCTTTTGTTTGGGAAGAGATGCAGTAGAGAATAGAAAAATGTCCATTTTGGAAATTTGTTAGATTGCAAGTGGAAGCAGATATTCAGAGAGTGTGAATCATCACTTTGGAATAAAGAGAGACCAAATCATATATAGCCCTTACCATGCCATATTCCGTTATGATCATTGAGATGTAGTCCGAGGGAGTTGCATCATAACTGTCAAGAATCATTCCAAAGGAAAACGAAGTTTATTTTAAAGCGAACTGCAATCGAATTATGCAGAGCAGAGCAATACAATATAAGTTTTAGGGGTTGTTTGTTTCAGCCTCTTAATGGTTCAAATGTCTGAATGGTTCAGCACTTAATGGTTCTGTTTGTTTTAGCCTCTTAATGGTTCAGATGTCTGAATGGTTCAAACATTTGCCTCTGAATGGTTAAGAGGCTGTTTGGCAACTTCTGAATCGGTAAGACGGTAAGTGCTGAACCAGTAAGAGGTCTGAACCATTAAGTGCTGAACCAGTAAGAGGTCTGAACCATTAAGAGCTAGTATATTGCTTAACTATTCAAAGGCAAATGTCTGATCAATTCAGATAAGAGGTCTTAACCATTCAGACTCTGTATAATACTTAACCATTCAGAGGCAAATCTGTTAACCATTCAGACATCTGAACCATTAAGAGACTGAAACAAACAGTCTAAACCATTAAGTGCTGAACCATTCAGACATCTGAACCATTAAGAGGCTGAAACAAACAGCCTCTAAGTATTATACAGAGTCTGAATGGCTAAGACCTCTTATCTGAATTGATCAGACATTTGCCTCTAAATAGTTAAGCAATATACTAGCTCTTAATGGTTCAGACCTCTTACTGGTTCAGCACTTACCTATTCAGAAGTTGCCAAACAACCTCTTAATCTTCTTCATGAGTGAGAAGAGAAAAACTTACACTAAATTCAAAATCTGAAGATTTTCTATGCTTGTCCAATTCTTCAAAATATTGGCACCTGATCTTCGACTGACCAGCGAAACTGCATCCGGATTCCCTGTATGGTTCCAACATCTACATTAACTATCTTTTAAAAGCCCCTTAATAAACAATGCTCCCTCGGTCCATTATTTTCTTACCCACTTTTTTTTGGGCCATCCACAATTATTGGAAAAAAAATTGATGAATGTGTCATTATACTCCTACTTTTCATCTACACTATTCACTTTATTACATTACACCAAGGGAAAACATGGAAAGTCTTTACATTTTTTTTACTTTTCTTAATCTTCGTGCCAAGTCAAAGCGGGAAAGAAATTATTAGACGGAGGGAGTAATGGGGAACTTAAAAAAGCAAATCTCCAGAGATCAATAAGGGAAGCCAATACCTAACTCATTGCAACAAATGGAATCAAGCATCACTCGCTGACTGAACTTATAAGCTTCACAACAAACCAGAACAGGAACACGGAGAGCATGAGCAACCATTGAAACACATGCAGTCCCCACTTTTGAGTAGACAGTACCATTAGATAATATAGATGCCGCCCCTAGGAAAACAATTTTGACCTCATGCATGATGTAAGAAACGGCACCAATGTGTGTGTACGTACAGTTGATCCCCTTCTTTAGCAGTCTTTGAAGTAGTGCTTGACCCTCCAGCATGGGACGAGAGTCTACTATAACAACATGAAACTGCTTTCCAATCTCATGAGCATATAAAATAATCATCTCAATGACAGATGATGAACTGTACATTAGTATAACATCGCCATCCTTGATTTTTGAAACTGCATGTCCAACTATTACTTTATCTGCCAGCACAATTTTCTCATTGATGAAACCATCAATGTCCGAAAGCAGATGTTCCTTCACTTCTGATTCAGATAGTGTCTGAGGTAACTTGGCTATACGACCCTTAATAAACTGAATGGCATTACCCATACTGAATGCTAGTTGCCTGCATTCGTTAAGAAACGAAACATAGCCATTGATTTTCGCAAGTAAATCTCGAGCGATGAATGTTTTGTCCTGTGGAAGTGTGTAGTCAGTAATGGCGTCCCTAATTGCCTGAAGCATAGCAACACAGCGTGCATTACTCCCAGAAAGATCTCCAGCCAAAATTTGAAGCCCCACCTAGTAGAGCATATCAAAAAGTAAGTCAATACAAATTTAGTTTAACAATAAAATACTACATCTGTTCTCCAATTTTAAGGACACAGGAAACATTTATCAAAAAAATACCACCATAATCCCAACTCAGTAGGGGTTCTATGGGTCAAGAAGTAAGATATTAAATGTGTCATTTTGATTTAATCCATTTATTTTCCTGAAGCTAAGATTTTGTTAATATAATTACTATTATAGTTCCATTGGTAATGCACATGGGAAAGTGGCACAAGGGTTTTAAAAAGTGGAATTGAAAATGTCGATGTTGAAATTAAGAAGTTAAAAATGAGTATAAATGTGCGCAGCATGAATAGCACTAAATATGGTATGGGAAAAAGTAGTTGGACAAACAAAAAGATAAAAAATGGACAAAAGTAGTTGGACGAAGAGAGTAACAAATAATTTGGGTTCACGCCCAAGATACAGAATGACACACGCCACCTAAAAGATGCCAGCGGGAACACAAGATTCACAACTTAACAGTAATGTTCCTTATCTATCATTCTATCTACAATTAATGAAGCAGCGAATGTGATATGGAGTACCAGCAGATTTATAAAGTTAAGGCATCAAGCTATGTTGCAAAAACCACATGATCAATAAATTAGGCATACAAAAATAAAGTATTTCTAGATTAACACATCCATACAAACATTCTCAGAATATTTTGATTTAAATGATAATACTCCCACACACAAAAATTGTCAACGTATTTCTAGAAATTACTACATTTTACATTATCACTCCCATGGTCATCAAATGGCCAAAACGTAATTATTCAAATTGCACTAGGAGATGTTATTTAAAGCACCGTCATATGAAACTTCTATTTGTAGATTTTCAAAAAAAAAGGTTTAAAGTATTCATTTATATTTCCCAAAGTGTTTATTATACATATACATACACAATATATATATACACACACACACACATAAACATACACACAATATGTGTGTGTGTGTGCATTAGTCACAAAGATAGTGCTCTAAATAAGCTTTTAAATGCCACTTCAATAACTCAAAATATGATACTTTAGTAAATAGCTATGGTTAAATAATTAAAAAAATTAAACTTACCCTCATCAGAAGTGATAATGTACAAAGTGATTATTAGTGAGAACATCAACATTGACATTTTAATCTGTGAGTGTATCAAAAAATCAAAAGATTCTAGGAGTATTTTATGAATTTTTCCAAAAATTTAAAAACAAGTTCACACAGGTACAGACTTGCAGTACAAGAATTCAACAAGGATATGATTCTATCCTCCAATGGAGAGAGAAGTAAGGCCAGTACCCTGTATATAGCAGGATGCATTGACTCAAGTTGGAATAATTTTGACAGAAGATCGGGGAGTTGAGTTCCATGTTCATACTGAGGCAAATGCTGAAACATTTCTACTCTATTTCTAGATTCTGTCTGTTTAAGTAGTGCACGCTTTTTGGCCTTTTCTACACGATTCTTATCATCAAACTGCATGCGTGGGGCTGGAATATCATTTTTCCTATGTTTCTCCAGTGCTTGGTTACTTCTTTTCTTCTCCAGAGCTGATGTGGTTAACATTGGATTGCTATCTTTATTGTGTAAAGTTGGCTTCGCAACTTGGGGAGCTTTTGCACATGCTGAAGCTGATGATCCCATAGCAGGATTATTCCCAGCAGCTGATATAAACAACCACAAAGAAGAAGACGTCAGGGGATCTATTAAGCACAACTAGAACTAGCAGCCAATGTCAGTGGAGCTAAAAAGGCTCATTATTGAATATGTTTTAGCTTCGGGTATAGAATGAACTAAATCAAAATGGCACATTCAACTTCCTTTGTTTCTTACTTTCTATGGGATTTTAGCTAGTAAAATAACCGTGCATCAAAAGCCTAACAGAGATTGCTAATGTTTTCCTGAGAGTAAATCAGCATACATTTTGACCTCCCTCCTACACCCCCAATGAAGTTAAGATTATACTTCGTACTAGGTCTTGTTTTTATGTGCAACTATCAGAAATGTACAGCAAGTCTAAGAACATGTGCACCAAAGAAACACAAATGCTGATAGATATGGCATCTTCACTCAATCTTGATGAAACATCAGATGGAAAAAAAATTACCTCTTGGTTGGGCTTTACCAATAACTTAGTTCTAAAAACACCTATACTAGAAGTGTTTTGGAAAAAGTAGAGCCAAGTTGCACGGTTTCTTCAAATAAGTGCCGCTTCGTGTCCCTGAAACATCCCTGTTTGGGTACTTGGGGATATTTCAACACCCAAAAATCTTTAAAAATTGGTGTTTCTCGTTCCCGACCCCATACTGTGTGAGTACCCATCCCTGTCTCCGAGCAACATCATCAGGCAACTTTTTCCCCAATAAATTGCAATTCTATTTCTCTTTATGGGAATATACAATTTCTTACTTTTACCATACACTTAATCGAGTACCTATGTAAGAAGGGGTCCCATGATTTGCTTTCAATAACAAACAAATTTGAAGATTGTAGGCAATGAGACTTAATTTTAATAAAGGCAATGTTGCAGAAACTGCTAAGGGTCAAGGGTGCCAGACAGGATAGACACTGAGTTACTGACTTCGGGACCTAGACCTAACTAAGGGAATGTGTGTGTGTGTGTGTGTGTAGTGAGCCCCAATAAAACCTTAGAAGGCTTACTTTGATTGTTTTCCCTTCAACCTGGAGGCGGCATCTAACACCAAGAGTCTATGAGGCGACCATGCAGATGGCTCCTTAAAAACTACATAAAGGTGGGAAACCCCTTCATTGTTTGCTCAGTGTGTGTGAAGAGGACGTAAATCATAATGCCAAATAGCCCCTTGAATGGGACTCTATACCATTCGATGTTACCACTAATGAGGAGACCATGGCATTTTTCAAATGCCTAGTCAGATAAATAAGATTACATGACTGACAAGCTTCAAGTCAATATCTATTGTAGCAGCATTCTACCACAGTAAAGGAAAGAACTGAACCTTTTGAGGCAGCTTTAGAAGCTCTTTGTTCTTCCTGCAGAGCTCGCCTTTCTGCTTTTGTAGTTTTCTCTTTTAGCTGTTTTGACCTTGGTTGCACTTGTTTTGGCTTCTCCATTGCTTGTTGTTTAGTGTTACCTGTAATTCACAGTGAATGGATTTATGATAGCTTGTACCCAAAAAAAGCTTGATCTATGTACTCTATCGAAATGTCAAGAATTCCAAATGTGCACGAACGATATGGTGAAACAAAGCCCTCCACTCTTGGTACGCCCTAAACGATGCGGGATCTAGTTATTACAAATGATCATCACAATTGTACTCCGTATTATTCAATTACAGTAAACATTCATTGTCTTTGAAATTTGTACTTTTTATGCATTGTTCATACCGCAGCAAGTAAGTATTAACCTAAAGATTAGGGAGCATTTAAAGGAAACCACACAAACGTCACAAATATAAGCTAGACAGGGAAATCAATATACCATTTTCAGGCGCTCCACATCTCTTCAATGAGCCAACCAAATTGTTCGCTGCAGCGGCCTGTTCAGGCTCCGCAGCGTACAAATCCGAGATTGAATTATTCGAATCGTCTCTGAGAATCCAATTCTCGGAGTCCACCGAGAAGTCACCGTCTATAAGGCCGACTCTGCTAGACTTCGGCGAACATCCACGCTCAGTATCGGAAGCGTCGACGCTCCCGGCAACGAACTGCTCCTCGTCTTCTCTATCCTCCTTCAAAATCCGCAGAGAAGCCGCGGTGGGAATCGGAAGGCCAACCGGACGGGCGGCGGCATGGGAGGCATGGAGAATGCGAGGAGGAATACTTGTCACCGGAGAAAGAGCGCTCCCGGCGGACTCGGCCATTAACGGTGGTTTTTCCACAGGATCAGAATGGGGTAGCTCTGGAGCGAAAAAGCCCACCCTGCGAGGGTTTAGTTGGTGAACGTGGAAAGTGGGAACGACTACAAGCGTGCTCCCTAGATGCCAAATTAATTTTTCTTTCCCTTCCAAAATTATACTCTTTCCATCCAAAAATTAATATTTTTACATCAATAATTTTTGTTTATTTATATAATAATTTGATAAAATAAAATGTTATTATTATATTTTGTTATATACGGAGAGTTTATTATTTGTGCAAATTTGAATATATTAGATTCCTGTCCGTGCGTTTTACGGAAAGAAATTTGTTCCAGAATTAAATTACAAATTATTTGACTTGGGTGCGATGTTTAATAAACTAAAATGTTGGTAATTGTAGTTTTGTAAAGAGAAAAAAAATTGATATGAACCACATAATTGTTTCTCTGAAAGAAAATTTTGGGACAAATATGAAAGAAGAAAGATAACTATATATGCGATGGAAGGAACATAAGGAAATGATTTAAAATGAGATTCACATAAAATCAAATTTTGTATTGCATTTCAAAATCAAAAGCAAAATTAGCAAACAAAGTACACAACATATTGATAAAGCGTTCACAAACAATGAATTTTTATTAGTAATAAACAACATTTAGTGTAGGGTGTGCTCACTGTCCATTTTCATCACAAATCAAAAAAATTTAACCACTTGATCTATAACTTTTAAATTTGTAACATTTGATTATTCGTGACTGAATACATGCTTTTTTGAGAAAAAAGATACGTTACTTGGTTATTGACCGTGACTTCTGCTTATGGTCATATTGTACGAAATCATTTTAGGAAACTACTCTCTTTCAAATTTGAAAGGAATTCTTGGATTTGAAGGGGTCAACGATAATTTGGGGATGACAGCCTCTTGACCCATATATGTAACGGAGAGAATTTTACCTTATATGAAATCTTAATTGGGTTGGAGAACAATTTAAGCATTTTTTACTTAAACTGGTGATCAAAAAAGCATTGTGTTGAGTTATTCCACACACAGTGTAGAGTCATTTCGTGCACAGTGTTTTCACTTATGATCATGATTGTTGTTCTTGTTGTTGTTATGTTAATAACTACTACGTATAGTTTATAAATTATTTTAATTTTTCTATTTTTATTTTTTCCCATAGTATTATTTTGTGATTCACACTCATTATTATTTTTCCATCCATTTCTGAATATAAATAATGCAATTTTATAGGGAAAATTGGTTTTTATTAATTTGCATGATACTAAACAATGTTATAAAAATTATACATATTTTATAAATGTAAATTAACCAGGGAAAGAACATCGATATTTTAAATTAAAAAATATGGAGTGGTAATTATACTTCATCCTTTGTCACTTTCTTTGCCTATAATAATACGGTCCGGTTCCAGTGACACCGGAAAACGGTGCCATTGGGTTTTTGGGGCACCTCCAATGCTCTGTTCGTAAAATTGACGGTTCCTACCCCCCTAACCCACCACCCTACCCCCCACCCCTGCACCTCCACCCCAACCCCGCCGTAACACCCCCACAAAATGCGTGGCTATAATGTGGGGGTAGGGTGGGGGGTTTAGGGGGTGGGTTAGGGGGTAGGAACTGTCAATTTTACGAACGGAGCACCGGAGGTGCCCCAAAAACCCAGTGGCATCGCTAGTAGCACCGTTCTCCAGTGTCACTAGAACCGGGCCGTAATAATAATAATAATAATAATAATAATAATAATAATAATAATAATAATAATAATAATAATAATAATAATAATAATAATAATAATAATAATAATAATAATAATAATAATAGGTATAAAAATACACTTAATAGATGTTTGAAGTTCTTTCGAGTTTTTTTAATCTCTTTTAGCTTTTTTAGTCTTTCCCGTTTTTTTATTTCTCAAGTCCCTATCAATTTTATCTAATTTTTTTACTCTGTAGTTTATTTGAATATTCGTTTCTTTTTTCCAACTCTAAAGAACAGATTGTAAATATAATTTTTATTATCTCACATTTTACTTAAAAATTAAGATAATGGGTAAAGTGATTTTCACAAAAGTTAAAAGTAAGTATCATATATTTACTTTTCTGAAATGGTGTTCTATGTACAAAATGATGGTAAATAAAAGTAGAAGTTGATATTTCAAATAAAATAAAATGATTACTACTTAAAGTACAATCTAAATTATAAAAAGCAGTGTATTGCCAAATACTTCTCCATTAGCAATTGCTCCAAACAAAGATGTTTTAATTCTCTTTGACAACGAGCAACTACTCCTTGTAAGTTGTAACTCTTTAAAAAAGCTTTCAACTTTACCATGTTTACTCCCTCCAACTTAAATTAAATTATATATTTACTATGAGTGGTGATAGTCACACTCCATCCAAACACCTTGAGCAGTGGAAATGGGGCTGACGCCCCATAGCGTCAACCTGCTTTTGACGCCCAACCGGCGTTAAACACTGCCCCCATGGCGGCATTAAGGGCGCCAATTTCCCTGCGTCAAAGTTTTGACGCTTCTCTTCCTCCGGTTGGCGCAGCCTCCCCCTCCCCCCCAACGGCTAAAAGAGCCGTTACAATATAAAAAAATTATAAATTCAATAAAATAACTTATCTTTCACACATCTCTCTCTATCTTCTCTCTATAATTCTATCAAATTTTCTTTCATTACAACCAGACGAGGAGGTGCATATGTACGAAAAAATCAATAAAGAAAAGAAACGAAGAAATTGCCAAGAAATTCGAAGCCAAGAGATTCCCAATACTCTAACAGTGGATCTGATCGAACTATTAAATTTTATGAATGTTATTTTTTTTATAAACTATTCTCCTTTCAATTCCCTTAAATAATTAAATTTTATTAATTTAATTTTAAAAGATGTATATTTAAAATATTAAAAATGAAGGTTTGAAGCCCTAGTTTGAAGGATCGGGGCTTCAAACCTATTTTCACTAAAACTGTGAGGTAAGTTAAAGCTGATGTGGCGGATAGAGAAGGTTTGAAGTCCCGAGGCTTCACGGGTATTTCGAGTACTCTAACTTCACTCCATGTACTAATTCATTCTATTAGTTTTGAAATTATTTGTAATACTAATTTAAAAAATATTGTTAATCCATGAACTCATTAAAAATATTTTGCAATTATAAGATTTTGATAGAAGTTCTAGTTTGAATCATAATATAATACGGAGTAATTGTTTAGTAATATATATATTTTATGCTACTAAATACGGAGTAAATTTGAATTATTAAATATGATATCTTTTAAAATAAAAGTTGTAGTTTTAATAATAATTCACATTCATTAACATTTACTAGTATATAGATTTTTGCTCTTGAAAATAAATAAAAGAGAATAATGGTGAATAATTTTTAAGATTATACTCCGCATAAAATTTTTAAGTAAAATTTATATAACCATCTTCTTAAAATAATAAAATAACTATGTAGATTAAAAAATGGTGAAATACATATTGATATAATACTTAGAAAATAGAAGATTTTATACAAAATCAATGGTCATTCAATGTATTAACAATGAAAGTTATTTTAATTAATGAAAAATTAAAAGAAGAAGCACTAAAATTTTATAATTAAAATTAACACTAAAATATATATTATTCTATTTAAAAGTAATTATGTGAAATAAATGATGAATAGTTTTAAACATTGTTTTATAATGCTTTTTAACATAATAACGTTATATAACTTTTTTGAATAATAACATAATAATATATCAATATATCCATGGTGTTTTTAGTTGACAAATGTTTTTAGTGTTTTAGCGGGTGTGGCTATCACCACTCATTTACTATTCACATGGTCAAACTTTATTTTTCTTTCTTTCCTTGTTTTCATTAGTCATTTGATAAAATAATATATTTATATTACCACTAGATTTGTAGATTTTTTTATCTAGTTTTAAATATGTAATCTTTATTTTTTAATTATACACCATTTTTTATTTAAAATAACTCCAGTCAAACATCGTAAACTAAAATAGGCAATTTAAATTGGGATTTTAAATTGGGATGAAGGGAGTATCATCCACTTTGAGAAGTGAGGGCCACTAGCTTTAGAATACTTCAATGTTTTCTGCAAATTGTTCCTAAAATGGGGCAACAATCATTCAAAGGAAACCACTCAAATTCCAACATTCAAGAAGTGCAAGAATTTCAATTAGATCACTATAAGAATAAGGTGAGCAATAATAATAATAACCATTCACTCAGAAGCTTACAAGAAACAAAACTTGCAATTCTAAAAGTCTAACCTTTTCTTGTAATAGATAACCGAAATCTTCAGCCCGAAATGGGTTGGGTTTGGGAACGGGAAACGCCCATTTATCTAAATTTCACATAGAATTCGTGCGGGATGTACCCGAGCACCAAAACGTAGGGTTTTGAGGACGAAAAGCGACACTCGAAGAACCCGTGCAACATAGAACACTACAACAAATGCACCAGCAAGGAAAAAGACCATTCCAAACTGTTTTCCTTCCACTCTATCCTTTTCTACTCTTCCTCCTCTTACTGCTGTGTAGATCCGCTTCAACTTCTTCACCTTTCCTCTTCTTCGTCTCGACAGAAAAAGTGTCCCTTTCTGAGCCTCCATTGCCTTCACCAGACTTCTTATGATTCTTCTTCGTCTCAGCCACCAAAGCCTCCCCTCGAGTTCCTCCATTGGCTTCAGAAAAACTCTTCTGTTTCTTTTCCTTCTTCACACTATCGGCTGGGGACCTTCCAGATTTCACCTTCTTCTCAGTGTTATTTTCATGGCATTTACCAGCACATGAAACTTCTTTGGCTCCTCCACCCACACACTTTTCAATCTTCACCTTCTCCGCACTGTGATTCTTCTTCTCTTCACCGCGCTCCTCAATCTTAACAGAGTTCATCTCAGTTTTAATCAAATTTCCGTTTCTGGAATCTGAATCTCGCTTCTTCTTATGTTTTTTACTCTTGTGATTCCCATCGGGAATCCTCTGGGGCTCTTCTTCCTCTCCTTCTTCCTTCTTAACAATGTCTGGATTTCTCAAGCTTTTCAGCCGGAGTACATGGCCGGGATGGCCTTGCGAGCAACGGTTGTGAAACTCAACCAAGTGATTGAACGCGTCCGTGGCGCGTGAGATGTACACCGAGACTGCATCGGAAGCTCCCATATCCGAGGCGGCGAAGTCCGTGATGATTGCGGCGGCATCGGAGAGTGAAACCGGCGCCATTGAAACTACTCCCCCTGATATTGTCCTCATCACGTTGAATCGTTGATGAAGGAAGACAACAGCTTTCCCAAATGTGATGCCCTAATGCTGCAAGGAAGAAGAAGAAGACCATCAGCCTCGTAGCCTAGGTCTCCGGGCCTGGCCCAGTTCATCGAAAATTACAAAATTTAAATACCACCCTTCATCCCAATTTAAGTTACACAAATTTTTAACCTAAAAAACATACATATATGTAAATATAGTGGTAAATGTTAAGGGTCAAACCACTCCCAATAATGATCTCAATGGCCTACCTCACCCAAAAATACTGATTTATAGAGAGAGTTGTTTGAGATTGAATAACTCGTGCGTTTGAAAATGAATTTTCCCTTAAAATATTATTAGTCTTGGGCTTACTTTTTTTTAGACATTTGACCTTTATGATAGATTTTCAGCTACTAACTACATAGAAACAAAAAGGCAGGTAATACACATGATTACAAGCTGCAACAAGATAAGAATACTAACCTTCGTAGCAATAATAAATTTTTTGAAAGAACATGATGACCAAAATACATGGTTTAATATATTTATCGATGCGATGAAAACCACCATCAAATATGAAGAGCATAAATTCTTTATTGTTCTCATTTCCCAACAAACCAGCATTCGTATAATATATATAATTATACGAATGCTGATTTTCAATTCAATTAAGCCCAAAACTTGATTTACATCATTCATGTTAACAAATATAAAACTGTTTAAGTAGAGATGTTGGAAAAAGAAGAAGCTATAGAAAGCTTTCTTCCTATTATGTTGAAGAGCCTATCGTACCTGGCCAAATAAGTTTGCCCCATCATTCAAATGATAGAATGAGAAAAAAACCTAAGACTTGAGATTTAAAAGATGTGCCTGTCTAGAACATAGGCAACAGAAGCAATGCAAGTAATGAGGGAGGACAACTCGATAGCAACTAGAAATAGTGTCTCAACCCACACAACAACAACAACCCAGTTGAATCCTACTACAGTACGGTCTGGGGAGGGTGTGTGTACGCAGACCTTGCCCCTACTCGGAAGTAGGGAGGCTGTTTCCAAGAGACCCCCGGCTCCACCTGCACAAAAATTATGATAGGAATCACAGTATAACACAGATAAAGCACCAAGTACAATAGAATGAAAGTCCTGCAAGCAATAGCAAAAAATTCCAACCAAACAAAACACACTACAAAAAGCCTCTGAAGCACCGGCCCCTATCCAGCAACTCTAATCCTAGTTCTCCAACTTGAGCACTAGCTATGAGATCACATTTTATTCTTACGAATCTTGGAAATGAAAATGTCATGGGTAGAGCAAATAATTCAAATGAAGACCAAAAAAATAACATGATATATCTTAAATTATTGGATATATAACTGAAATAAATGACCAAAAAGAAAATCAAAAAATTACAAGTGAGTTTCAAAATCTACAAATGCTTCAAACATTGCAGATTCAAATTCTAAAACCCAAAGGGCTAAGAATACAAGTGAAAATTTGAAATGTATACCTTTTTTTAGTGCCATCATTTGATATTAGCCAAGATATTTGATCTAAAAGAGAGCGTTATAAAATAGAAAAGCATTAACCAAAAATCCAAAATCAAAGTATAGACCAACCAGCGAGCCTACATAACATACGGAGTAATTATTTGATGAAGTCTAACTAATAAATACCAACAACAAGCCTGTTTGGCACCTACATTTCCATTCCTTAGCAATCAATGTACTCTGTGAGTGCAAATTACCAATTTGGTTGTGTTAAATCAAGGGAAAAAAATGCTTCTTTTCTAACCCTTGTTCTCTAATTAAACCTATGAAGCACAGGTGCGGGTGCACGACCGTTGTGTGGGTGCACGGACGGTGTGTGGGTGCATAATTTTTTAAAAAAATAGGGTGCGGGTGCGGCAAATTTGTTCATACATTTTTTACTTGGATAGTTTTATGTTCGAAATATTCACAACATATATCAATTATCCTAATACTTTGAAGTATTTCCACAATGGTAACTTTCCATCACCATCAAGTTCAGAATTATTGTTAATTGAAGCTGAACTGCATGCCAATTACAAATAACCCACACTTAATTCAATTAATCACACAATAACCAAGTACCCTAGAAATTAAAATAGCCAAAACAGCCCACGAAATAGCATTGAAAAGCTCAAGAGGAAATCTCAATAGTCTCTAAAAAATTAAACAAATTATGACACAGTTACAAATTCATACAAGGAGAGCAAACGCCATTTTATACAAGAAATTGGAAGAGGAAAGGGAGAGACTTAGACAAGGAGAAGGAACAAGAGAGAGGCTGAGAGAAGCGGAGTATACAGATTAGAAGGGAATCGGAGGAGGGAAGATGATACCTAAAGAATGACGCCGTTCTCCGGTGAGGAAGGCGCCAGAGAGCACGATGGCGGCGACGTCGATCGGGAGCCAAAGAAACCAAGTTTTGGGAGGCGGCGGAGTCTCTCTCGCCAGAAAGATGTGGGTGTTTTATGTGGTCAAAAGTCAAAACTATTTTTAACTAGATAGGGACTAAGATGATGAATTGATAATATAGGGAGTATTTGTCTTTTTATAAACTAATTTATAAGCTGCTTATAAGTTTAGTAAAAATATGTAGGTCTTAGTTACTTATTTCATTTTTACATTTTGACTAGATTATTTATAAAAAAAGACCCTCCCCATTTATTAATATTTATGAATGATTTATCTATCATTCAAGTATTTTACTTTCACGAAAGAATATTTGACTATAAGCAGCTTATAAGTTAAAAACGACATTTTGATTTCAAATCTAGATTTGACTCAAATTCTATGTATAGAAAACTTAAAAGTTTTGGATTTAATTTGAGTCAAATCCAGATTTAAAAATTTTGGATTCAATTTGACTCAAATCCAGATTTAAAAATTTGACTATATACGCTTTGATGAAACCATCACTAGTTTTAGTTTCGAGAAGAATTCTGATGAGTCTTGTGTTTACAAGAAGGTCAGTGGGAGTGTGATAGTATTACTAATCATATATGTCGATGACATATTGTTAATGGGTAACGATGTTCCTGCTCTTACTTCTGTAAAGACTTGGTTGAGCGAGAACTTCGCCATGAAGGACTTGGGGAATGCTAGTTATGCCCTTGGCATAAGAATCTACCGCGATAGGTCAAGAAAGTTGATAGGTCTATGTCAAAGTACATATATAGATAAGGTCCTTGATCGATTTAGCATGTCTAACTCGAAAAAGGGATCCTTACCTATGTTACCTAACACGGCTCTTTTCAAAAGCCAGAGTCCTACTCCCGAGTAGAAGGAACTCATGATGAAGGTCCCATATGCTTCTGCAATTGGTTCCATCATGCATGCCATGATATGTACTAGACCTGATGTCTCATTCGCTTTAAGTGTGACCAGCAGATACCAAGCGAATCCAGGTGAAGCACACTGGACATCGGTCAAGAACATCCTGAAGTATCTTCAGAATACTAAGGATGCATTCCTAGTATATGGAGGTGAGGAAGAGTTGAAAGTGATCGGTTACACTGATGCAAGCTTCCAAACCGATTGAGATGATTACAAGTCACAAGCAGAGTATGTGTTTTGCCTGAATGGAGGAGCTTTTAGCTGGAAGAGTTCTACCGCCGATTCAACTACAGAGGTTGAGTACATGATTGTCGCTGAAGCAGCAAAGGAAGGTGTTTGGATAAAGAAGTTCATCACTGAACTTGGAGTGGTTCCTAACATTAATGACCTAATCTCGTTGTTCTGCGACAATACTGGGGCCATCGCACAGGCAAAGAAACCACAATCTCACCAAAAGACCAAGCACATTGTACGACGTTATCACATCATACGAGAAATCGTAGACAGAGGTGATGTGGAGATTTGCAAAGTAGGAACAGACGACAACATAGCTGACCCCTGACCAAGCCCTTGGGAAAGCTAAAGCATGAGGGTCTGTAACGCCCCAAAAATTACGCCGATTCCAAAATCCGAATCACCATGCAATCAAGGAAGCTGCAAACTCCCTGTCTTCTTCCTCCTTCACTTGGATATTTAAGGAGAGCCAATTCCTCCATTTCTTCACCAAAACAACTCATTCTTCCTTCTATGTTGTTCCTTGCTAAGAGTAAAAACGTACGTACGGGATCCATAAACCAAACTAGAGGAACTCGTTTGGGGATACCACCCAACCCGATAGTTAGTATTCTACTGTTCGGTTTTCTGGATTTGTACCTTAAACGAAGGCTAGTTTAAGAGTTGGTAAATCAATCGGAATATATGTACCTTAAACTAATGACCTAGCTTAAGAGTTGGATAGAAGTACCTTGAACTAGAATTAGTTTAAGAGTTGGTAAAGATAACAAAATTGGCCTTAGACCAAGCATAGTTTACGGATATTGTGGAATATTGAATATTGAACATGAATGTTGAATATTGAGATATTGAAATAAAAATATTGAGAATATCATTAATGAATATTGAGATATTGAAATAACAATATTGTGCATGATATCAAATGGTTGTTTGTGAATTGAGATTCAATTTATGTGGATGTTCTACGCTTTAGATATGCTTACTCAGCTTCATCGCTGAGCGTGTAGTATCTTTTATTTGCTACACGCAGGTAGACAAAATGAATGATTGACATGATCCTGGCAACGGATGGGGCGAGACTGTCGTGGTGGAATTTGTGATTTTAAAATAAATAATTGTGTTGTTATTAAACATGGTTTAAATTGCTTCTGCGTTATTGTTAAATACTCTGTATTTTGCTACAGTTATGTATTAAATAAAATTTATGATGAATAAAAGTATTTGAAATGTTTTAAGTTTTACGATTACCAAGCTAATACTTTAGTCCGGAAGGGGTTGCAGACCTGGACGGATTAGGGTGTTACAGGGTCACACTAGGTCAATGGACATTCGGCCAATGCCAGGTTGGCCATAGTGCAAGTGGGAGATTGTTGGAGTTGGTGCCCTTATGGCCAACTACTGTTGTAATATCTTAGATATTTTCTATCATGTAAAGGCAGATGTAATAAGTTTACAAACATCTCATGCTAATGTAAACTCTTAATTGCATTCCTAGAATTACATTATAAGATGTTTATTAGAATGAGTCTTCTCATGTTGAGACTTACATCTTGTCACTTAGTATAATTCTAAACGGTATATAGTCGAAGCATTAACGAGAGTGGGACATCGTTACTGCGTGTGAAACTAGTGAGAGTTAGATGTTTGACCTAGTCTCTTGGTCAATGACGGAGTGTTTGCATATACTCTCGGGCAGATATTATCGTTAATAATAGGATGCCAGACCTGACCCACCTTAAGGATATTGCCTAGACTTTTAGTCTATGCTCTAAGTATCTTTAATGCGACTATTGGTATAACGATCCTTAGACTTGAAGTATTACGTTCTTCGAATGCGTGAACCCGTATGCTTTGATTCATTGTCCTAAGCCGTATGAAACAAGGATGGTACACAGGCTTTGTATTGGGCATGCCGTTGCGCATATTCGAAGACGTAGATTACGTACAAAGAATTTGTCACTGCTACGTTAACAGAATAATGTCTTATAGGGGCCCACTAATAAGTATGACTGAGGAAATGCATGGCCATGCTAAGATGAGTTTAGACATCTGTTCTCATCGGTCAGACCTGTTACTCAGTAAATAACTTAATGGCTACAAGTTGGCTATTTTATATCTCTTGCACTAAGTTAAGAAATTGGACAAAAGGATCTACATTATACAAAGTCTTAGTCGTAGAAAGGTTTTGACGAAGCAAACGTCTGAACTTATAATCTGGGGGTAATAATGTGTTGCTAGATACCGCTTATTACTTATAGTATTGGTGTAGAGTCAATACTGTGGCCAGTTTTATAAGTGTCTATATGGGTCACACACTTTGGACTATTTAATTTGTATATTGTAAAACAGTAAAATAAAATGTTTTAATATAATGTATGTATATATATTATGTACGAATACACACACACACACACACATACATACATACATACATACATACATACATACATACATACATACATAGATATATATATATATATATATATATATATTATATTGTGTACATTTTATTTTGGAGTGTTATTTTAATTATGAAAATAATTATTTTGACAAAAACGTTTTTAAAGTATATTTTATATACTTGTTTTAAAATGTTTTGGATATTGTAGTTTATATCATAAAAATTATTGATGTCAAATAAAATACACTTTAAACATTTGGGAGGAGAAGAAATAAATTCTCCCCCCCCCATCATTTCGTACATACATTAAGTGGAGCAAATATACGTCGCACCAAGATTGTCACAGTATAAGTTTGGTGACTTATGAATCGGGATACCAAGGTCATGAAGTAAATTAAGTGTCCATAGAGTCTCAGTAGTAGCATGTGCCAGAGCTCGATACTCAGCTTTAGTAGAAGAGCGAGAAACAAGATTTTAACAAGTGGATTCCCAAGAAATCGCATTAGGGCCGAGGTAGAATGCATAAGCTGTGGTTGAACGGAAACCATCATAAACACCACCCCAATCAGAGTCTGAAAAATAGTGATTGAGAAAAAAGCATCAACATGAATGTACAGACCATGATTGAGCGTACCCTGTAAATAACGAAGAATACGTTTTGCAGTCTGGCAATGAGTGACCATAGGAGCATGCATAAACTGGGACGACTTATTCACTGAGAATGCAAGATCCGGACGAGTAATGGCAAGGTATTGAAGTGACCCAATCACCTGCCGATACAAAGTAGCATCTGCCGAGGTCGTGCCATCAGCCAAATGAAGAAAGGCCAAAGCACTCATTGGAGTACTGACTGACTTTGCGGCAAGAATATGGTGTTGAGCTAAAAAGTCCAATATGTATTGGCGCTGTGAAAGAAACATGCCCCCAGAAACAGGATTAACCTTAACCCCCAAAAATGGTGGAGAGGACCAATGTCTTTGAGCGCAAATTGCCGAGAGAGCTGGAGCACAAAAGCATCAATAACGCTTGAGTTGTTCCCTATGAGAATAATATCATCCACATACACCATAAAATCCCCAATGATAAATAAAAAGAGAAGCATTAGCAGCTCATTTGTGAAAACAAAGAAGCAAGAAAAATCCTATGAGTCCAAGATACCAAGCATGAGGAGCTTGCTTCAGACCATAGAGCGCTTTACGTAGCTTATAAACATAATCCGGATGAGTAGAATCACGATAGCCATAGGGGTTGCTCCAGATAAACATACCCATGCAAGGTTCCATTAAGAAAGGCATTATTGATGTCCAACTGAGGTAGAGGCCATATGCGAGACAGAGCAATAGTAAGATTGACACGAATAGTGATATGTTTTGTCACCGGACTAAAAGTCCCAAAGTAGTCATGACCCGATTGCTGCAGAAAATCCTTCGCCACCAATCTAGCGTTATAGCGATCTAGAGAACCATCCGGTTTCCATTAATACGAAAAAGCCATTTGCATTGAATCACAAAATGCGTGAAACGTGGGACCAGATCCCAAGTACAGTTTTGCTATAACGCACAAAAC